AGTACGCTCTCCGCCAAGCCTCTATATATATTACCATATAATATACACACATCACTCTATATACGACTCTCCTACTCGTTACCGATTCCATAATGTGCGTGCACGTTTATGTTGTACAGTGTGATTCACCGAACACGTTCTACCGTTTTTCTTTAGAAACAAGTCTATTCAAATTTGGAAATTCGAGGACTACGTTTTTAATAATTTTTTATTTGGTGTTTTTTTTTTTTTTATTATTCCATTCGATGAGTGTCCCACAATTACAAACTATAAAATAACTTCTTTTTTTTTTCGAATGAACACCGACTTTTTTTACTAAGTAGAACGTAGGTATATGTAAATTATTTGGTTGGTGTTTTTTTTTTTCTTAAGAATGTTGGAGTGTGTCTACATCAAAATTCGAGCAAATAAATTTCAAATTATTAATATGAGTATATTATAAAAAAGCGATATAATATTATAGACTTAAAAAATGGTTTAAAAAATATAAAAAATAGTAGCAATATTAGATTTAGTATTTATTATACACTAATCTTTGAAAAATGTTGATTTAATTACTAAAATTTACAAACTATCATATCCTTAGTAATCAAAATTAAATAACTCAAAAAATTACCTATTCAATTTTTGATTAATATATATATATCGAAATGTTCAAAAAGAATCATCTTATTGACAATTTATAAAAGGAAAAAGATAGATTCACATTAAAAAAAAATAAATTGGAATCGCTATAGATAAATCGTGTTATTAAAAATATCTAAGTTTTGGAAAGTATGACCCTTGTGCACATTTATAACATGAACAATTTTATTATTATAGTAGGTATGTTTGGTGAATCACCCTGTGTACACATGCTCGTGTTTAGATCAACTTAATAAATACTGTTGGATGACGACGACTGAAATTTCGTATATATTTATTACAATATGTATACACGCGTACGTTATCACAGCTGCTCTGCGATGTGTTGTTGAATTTTCACCTACTAGATCGAAATATTTCAAATTGTATAAAATATTAATATTTTAATAAAAGCTAATATATGTACATTATATTAAAATTCATCTGTTTTCGTAAAATTTGAAACGTTTTTGAACGAATTTTTTAATTATTATACGCAAAATTATTACAAATAAGTCTTGATACGAGAGACATGATAGCTGATGAGTAATATGGATTATACTTGTAGGTAACCACGCTATCTTTGATCTGTATATTTTCATACAATATTGTTCAAGTTGCCTATATTAAATCCCTCAAAAGTATTTCTGTTACATTCTTCAATAATATTAGCAACATTTTATTAAAGATAACAAATTTAAGAATATTTTGAATTAAAACAGTGTTAGAAATAAAACGAAAGAAGTGTGTTTCATAGTGTCACTGGTGTAGGTAATAGATATTTATAAAGCCGAGCCTATAGAGTATAGGATATTTTCGGCCTAAAACAACCCACGATGTGGTTGCTATAAGATAAATTGAGTATAATAGATATTTTATATATCTTTTTGGTTAAGGGGTGGATTTTTGGCTATATCTGAATTAAAAATACTTGTATCATATACAGGTAAGTTTATTTTTTCTAAAGAATTATTTTAATACATTTTGATTGAAATAGAATATTTTATATCTAATTTCTAATGATAATATAATACATTGAATGTATAGTTTGCTCTTGTTTTCTAATATACCTATCTTATTATAGTCTTAAAATTAAACTTCATTGAATGAATCTATTAGATAATAGGTATTGCATTGAATATGAATTTTAATAATACCGTGCAGGTATAAATTAAACTAAGTATTTTTATATTCAAAATAATTTAAGATTTACATTTTAAATATGAGAATAAAATTAAAATTAAATATTAATCAAGATCTTTTTCTATAAGATTATACATTTTGATACTTGATTTCCTATTATATATTTAAATTGAATGTAATTAATAGATTTTAGAAAAAATACTAGATTTTTATTATACGATACCTAACTTTTATTTTGACTTAAATAAGTTAGTGTTTTTAAATAATAAACATTGATGTTCGTTGTAATAAAAAAACTTAAACTATAAAATTAAAACTAGTAATCTAACTATTGGTTTTATAATAGGCTTTATTGTATAACCAATGCTAAAATTACAAATTATTTGGGATGCATAATCTTTACTGTAATAAAAAATGCGTGATAAATGTAAATACTAATAAATTAAATATTATTTTAAATGTACTATACATTAATTAATATCATATAAAATTCATAATATTTAAAAATAATAAAATAATTAATTAACCATGATTTGTTGCAATTATTTTAGGCCAACAAACCACTAATGGAGAAAAGAAGACGAGCAAGAATAAATCAATCGCTAGCGCTTTTGAAAACTCTTATTTTAGATTCTACTAGAACAGAGGTAAACCTATCTAAGTTTTTTAATTTTAGTTTTTACCTATTTTACATGATATGTTCATTTTTACAGAATACTAAACATTCAAAATTGGAAAAAGCTGACATATTAGAACTTACCGTACGCCATTTACAACGGCAAAAAGTTCTGAGCTCAGACGTCAGGGATAAATATCGGGCTGGCTTCCAAGAATGCGCTAGAGAGGTAAGATTATTATTTATTATAAACCCACTAAAAATAAAATCATTTGACTTACGCCATGTAGTATATGTTAAATTGTATTTTCACTTGATAATTATTAGGTTACTAGATTTTTGGAGTGCCCCGAACTGCATATGTGCAGTACTGGAACTGGAACACTTCTTTCTGCTGGTTCCGCAATTATAGAGCCAGCTGTAAAACAACGCCTATTAAGACACTTAGATACATGTTCATCAGAAATTGATTTAGATTTTAGCAACTCCACAGTTGTTATTCCTGATGTAAGTATATACATATAAATATACCTACATACCTACATATTATGTATGTCTTAATAATTTTGTTATAATTTATAGTCAGACTTATACGTAACTTATATGTAAATATTTTATTCATTAAGTTTTAAACATGAATATAGTGACATCGAATTATTTTTAAACATGTGACTTGTTAATTAGTATTGCTAAGACATATTAAAAATTAAATTTATTAGTAAAAAGAAAAACGAAAATTTTACATTAAATAGAGTTTGTATAGAATTAATTCTGATAATTTTTCAATTCACATACGACAAATCAATGAAATTTAATACTTCTTATACAATTTATACATTTTATAAATCGGGATATTTTAACTATTTTCCCAGTAAAAAAAATAAGAGAAATTTCATAGTAAATGAAAATATGTATAAAAAAATATTTAAGACAAAAATCAAAACTATAAATAATTTACGTTTAGCTAACTATTTTTGTAAGCTTACGTTTAATTCCGCGAGAAGGTATGTTTCATAGAAGATTGTAGATATTAAGATGTTACTTATGTACCAGATGCTTCGAGTATACTCGTTTTTCCAGTGTTGTATATAGAAATTTCTTATTGGTGGCAAGGGTAAAGTATGGATTTAAATATATATACTAGTTATCCTCGCGCCATTCGTTGCCCGTACAAAATGTATCCATGTTAAATTTAGTTGCCCAATGCTAATATTTAGCGTAATGCGTGTAAATGAATAATATTTTTGGTTTTGTGATTTGGTGTAAAGATGATATTTCTAACATATTAACTTACCATAGTGAACCCGTCTAGTGTTGCTTTTTTTTATCATTTAACAACAGTATTTTTTTTAATTTTTTTAATTTTATTTTTTTTCTTGATCAACTCAGACTTGATTCACTAAAATACTAATTTCTAAAAATAACTTATAATTTGTTACATGAATGAAAAAAATAATATCTTTATGTACGTACGTGCAGATTATTTAAAAAATTAATTACTCAATTTTTCATTAACGTATAGAATCTGAAATAGGTTTAAAACTTGCTCCACAATCTACTCTTTCATTCAAAAAAAAAAAAAAAAATCAAAATAATCAGATGAATAGTTTCAAAGAATATGCGTGACAAAGATTTCCATTTTCACATACATACGAGTATATACAGATTTTTATATTATTAAACGTTTTTACGTTTTAATATAGTGATAAAAAACCAAGCGGGGTTTAACCTCTCTTCTCAAGGTGTATTGTCTATATGTATCAACTTTTGTCGGACGTCGAAGTAAAGAAATGCTTATAGTCTTTACTATTTGTTTGAAATACAACTTATTTACGCTGAGAAGCACACCCTTGTCCGCGCAATTATTGTGCCCAAATAATCTTGAAAATGAGATAAAATGAAATTTCGTTGTGTGAAAAAACGTTTGCTTCCACCCATTTCTTACCATAGCGTCATCAGGTACATGCGAATAAACAAACTCGTATGTTTTTACGTGGAAAGAGTATTGCATAACAGCTTAAATATACTAGTTGCTTAGATATTTTTAATTATAACTTTTATAAAATATTCCTAGGTATATTATATTGTATATCAAGTAGAGATTTTGTATCATTTGAAATACTAATGCCAAATTTTATCTAAAATAAATTGAATAAATATAATTTTATACCTTAGGTATTTACTACCACCCACTATTTACCAATTGAATTACCTGGAGGTATATGATCAATCACAGGTTCTATGACATTCATTGATCATAGGAAATCCATAAGATCGATGTCACTGTAAATTATATAGTCGATGCGAATATTATAAACATACATAAATCATTTTATGTATTATTAAATTAAATTTTTTTTTTTTAAGGACATTATTGGTGGAGACGAAGAATCAAATTGTAGCACGATCGAAAGTAAAAATGATCGTATAAAATCTGAACCTCCTAAGAAACGAGCTCGCAGTAAATCTGTGGGTATAGAGGATAAGGTAATAGATCGTGGTGGTCTGACAGCAAGTGTTGTTGTAGCACCAACTAATGATCCTACACAACCCTTATCTGTTGTACAGGTTAGTGATTTTTTCTTGTAATTATTAACATTGAAGCTTTTTATATTTTAAAATATGTTTTTTATTTATTTACTTATACTGAATGATTCTAGGTAATTCCTTCACAACTTCCGGATGGCCAAGTTGTATTCCTGTTACCAAGTCACTATGTGCATTGCCAACAAAACCAAGGGGCTGAACCAAGGCCTTCAGGCGATGAACCTATTGATTTTAGTGTAAAAAGAGAACATGAACATGACAGTATGTGGAGACCATGGTAAATTCAAATTCTAGAATTAGCCAATTAGGTGTCTTCAAGATGTGTTTTTTTTTTCAATCTTCTTAAATGAAATTTTCTTATTTATTTCCCCTGTCTGTGATACAACTTAAGTATTGGTTTTCTGTGGTGCACATTTTTTGAGCCTTTTATTAGAAACTTCATTACGTAATAATATTGTAAGAATGTTAAGATAATTTTTCCATTTTAGAAGGCTTAGTAAAATATGCTTTGATCAAACCTTAAAATAATTATTTAGAGGTTTTCACACGATTTGATCAGTAATATTATAATTAGTATTATATATTAATGTTGCTAATATAAAAGTATAAAACATTTTACAATAATATATTGTGTATTTAAGAAAGTGTATTATAATGTTTATACCTAAACCTGTTATTATTTAAAAGCCTCTTTTAATATTTTGCCCCAATTACTATTTAAATATAATTATGTGCAATATTTTATTTATATGTTATGACTTAAGTCAGTAGTTTTTAATTACTAATAAAAAATATTTTAAGAGACTTGATGGAAGAGAGCATTCAATATAGTTTTCATTATTTATAAACTACACTAAGTACAATATTTAGCAATTAAATATAATGTAAAATATAATACAATTTATTTTAAGTTGCTTTACAGTTGAATTATTATATCTAAAATGTATTTTGTTTATTGTGGAATGTAATTTTTGTAGTAAGTTCCTTTAGGTTACAACACATTTGATTTAAGTTGTACAAATAATATTTTATGATTTGCAAATGTATTATTCTCTGACTTATACTTTTACGATGATATTAATTCACAAGTCACCAGATGCATAGGCTTTTTATATTAGAATAATATATTTAGTAACATTCTTGTATGTAACAAGTTTGGAAAATTATTTCAATAAATTAATAGCAACATGACAACACTCGTGTAATTGTAAATCATATAAAAATCAACATTTTACTCAAATGAACAATAAAAGAGTAAAACTTATCTGTATTGATATTAGTATTTTTTTTTTCTTAAAATGTAAAGTTTAAGTTATTTAGACTCCTTATTATTTACTTACTTATTTATTTATTTATTAAAACTGTTATGGAGTGTTAATTAAAAATTGTAATAAAAGTAGATTCGCCTTGTTAATGAAATTATGTTATTTTTTTTATTTTAAGAGTTGAGGTTTATAATATTTACTTGAATCTTAATTTAATAAGAAGTAAGTATGTTATTTTTAGAACATGAAAATATAAATAATAATCAACAAAAATTAATTCTGCAACTAATTAATGCAAAAAGCTACTAGGTATGCAAAAAAAAAAAATGTATAATTCAATATTTTATATTTTTATCACATAAATTCAAAGAGAAAAGAATATCGAACTCAGGGTTGAGTAGGACGCACTAGAGTGGAAATATTTAGATTAATTTTAAGCTAAATTTATTAATAACAATCCTATTCATATCGTTTTACTGTACGTAGGTATTTAGTTATGAATTAAAAACTTTAATATTATAATGATTAGTAATTACTAATTACTATTGATATAATATACCATATGCGATTTACTTTTAGCAAAAATTAACATATTTTATTACCAATAAAAAAAAAAAAAAATTATTAAAATACAAATAAAAAAATATATAATACAATATCTTAAGAAAATATAGGTTAACGGTAGATTTATAGACCGTCTTCGCAGAGTACCTGATTTATATTTAATGATTTATTAAAGGGACAAAATCAATGACGACTGACACCTACTGTACAGCTAAGTGGCTTGATTTTTTTATTGTTTTTGTATGATATATGGAGGAAAATCAGCATAAAAAATTTAAAAAAATGTAATTAACTCAAATCTAATCACTTTTATATAAAATAAATTTAAATTGTTCCATAAACTAAGTCAGGTCTTTCGATAAGATCGGTATATCATTATAAAAGTTCAACTATATGTTAATATATTTATATTTTATTGTATGGTGAATCAACATTGTTTATGTTTATTAGATAGATAGTTACAAAAGTATCAAAACATATGGGATGTTTGAATATTTATATGTTTCTATATTACTTATAAGCTGTATCCATATAATACCTACTATTAAATTACATTTATTAGTAGGAGTATTTAGATAATGTCTGAAATAGTATGTAATATTTCCGAAGAAAATCAAGTATAGTCGTTACTGATAGGTAAATTTAAATTTAATGGTAAATGTAATAGTTTAATCTGATAATTATTTAAGTATAATATTTATATTAAATAATAAATGATTAATATTAAAACTATATTATTGATATATACAAATAAAATAGGCATACCTATAATAACTTCACATACTTATCTAGTTATTCTAGTTTATGCTTATACACATTATTGCGCTATTAGTATTTATAGTTCTTATAGTGACAAAAAAAATTAATAAATCAAAATATTTTCCCTTTTATTTCATTTAAACACATTTCTTTTTCAGTAGGTACCTACACTTATTATGTATTATTAAATAAAAGTTATCTTTAAAATATTAATCTGTTGCTAGTAACGGAGCTTCCAGGTTAGGTAGACAAGCACATTAATCGCTTATATTGTAATCACTATAATAGGTAACCTATATAATCACAGTAATAAATTATTATTTCGAATAAGTTAAAACTAATTTTAAAACACACAGATTAAGAGTGAATTTTACTTAAATAACACATAAATACAAGGTAAACATACTATTAATAATTATGAAACAGTTTTGACCATATTTAGTTATAAACGAAATCTTGAATGCAGCTCATTATATTTTTTTTTAGGTCTCATGATATTGCCAAGCCATTTAGTAACAATGTGTTGATGAGATCCTAGTATGTTGTACCGTTCTGAATTGGTCTCGCGAAACTCTGTCTAGCAAATATAATTAATGAAAAAACATAAATTACACATACTAAATTATATGTTTACTAAATGCTTACGAAAATCCTTATCTCACCCTATTCATTGTTCTTTCTTGACTAAGTGTGTTTACCAAATCATTGATACGTTCATCCACTTCTTCAACATCTTTATGTATAGTTTCATCTGTTGTCTACACATTGTTTAAAAATAATCAGAGAATATGAATATAAATTATATTTTGAATACAATTTAAACGTATAGAATTCATAAAAAAAAATGTGTTAGATTTAAAATTAACTGACCTGTTTTAGCCATTGAGTTAAAGCTGCCGCTCTTTTGTTAAAACTTTTATAAACTTCTAGAGCATGACCAAATCTTTCTGAAACTTGTAAATCAGTAAACAAGTATTCAATCACCTAAATATTTAAGTAATTAAGAAAGAATTAGTGTTTTTAATATTATTAGGCATGTAGGGTAACTGTAGATAGGTACTTGTAGAATAGCGAATACTTCTCTTGAAGTACAATACGGGAATTGAACACCAGGCAACATGGTCTGTGCCATTCGAACACATAGAGCTGCTTTGTGCATTGAGTCTCTAGTTTTTAATGCTTGGCGAAATCTTATGGATTCGTCTCTATATATAATGATAAAAATTCGATTACAATAAATAATGATATACCAAAAAATAGCGTAGATATTTACTCTTCGGTTTGCAGTGATTGCCAACTTTTATATGCTGTACGACTATAATCAGCAGAGTCTTGTGCGAATAACGTAGCATCTTTCCACGACAATTCACCACTAACTAATGTATCTCGATAACTACGAACCCTGTCCAACTCCCGTTCTAATTGCCCGGTATTTGATGATTTATTTCCAACTAAATTTTCTGTATAAATAATTTTTATAACTCATTACTACAAATCCATAAGAATTCCGGATAAAATTGTATAATGTAGTACAGGGTAGTCCAACCTAAAGATCTGCAATTCTCAAAGCCTTTTTTTGGCCCTCCTTAGACATATATATATATATATATAGTAAATAACTTTAGTGTTTATAAGAAAGTTTAAAAAAAAAAACAAAGTAGTGGGATATGGCTCGGCAGCAGTCGCGATCACATTGCCGATTAATAATAATAATGATAAGTAATAACTATTCGATTTTCCTGACAGCGTAGATGTTATTCACAATCAGTAATCACTGAACAATGAAGTGTAAACTTCTATAATACTTATGTTTAAATTTTTTTTTTTTTTGTTGATGACCTTTCTAGTGTTTATAAATGTATAAATTGGCTCTCCAACTACAAAAATTTGAACCACTCTGGTGTAGCATATAGCTAAAATTAGAAAATTGTTGTTACATTTTCCCCAAGAGTTACTTTTTATTTTGATTTGTAGCTCTCCAAAAATTGTGGGTTTTTATTTATCTTTTATTTAATAGTCATAATAGATGAGTTTATATCGACGATCTGAATTAATAAAATAAAACAATATAATTACATTACAATTTGTTGAAATTTATAGCCAATTTATTCATTTTTTTATGTAATACATTTTTACGTGATGACTTATATTTGATAGTATTGTACTATTGTATCTTTTATATAATAATATATACAATTTAAATGAATGTTATAGTATATATAACACTAAACATCAATAATTATAAAAGCTAAATTCATTCTATACGCGTACATTTTTGTTAATTAATTTATAAATTTAAAATAGTGAGAAGTATTTTGATTTTGTGTTATTCTAATCGAGAGTAGGAAATATATTTTAAATAATTTTAATCATTCATATAATATTTCCAAAGTATAATTATTTATAATTAATTTACAACTGACAACCGACTTAAAATTCAATTATAAAATCATATTTTTATTCTTACTTATTATTAGTTCTTGACTTTCATAAAGTTTCTGTAAATGTTGTACTCTTATACTAAGTTTTGATATTTCTTCTTCACTTCTAGCTCTCATTTGACTTAACCAATTTAAATGGTGCAGTTTTATAGACTGAAATTTACAATTGTAATAAAATATTTATTAATATATCAGTAGTAGGTAATACTTGAGGAACATTTTAGAATATTCCAAAAAAATATTTTTTAATTATTATTCAATAATTGTTTAGGTATTCAAAGTTTTGTATAATTAGTTTATAGATTACATATTAGTCGGAAGTAAAATATTAAATTTAAATAATAATTAATACATTATCAATGTTATACCTAACTAAAATGAATAAATATTTTTATAATTTATAATTTCAGTCTATTATTTTATAGTTTTTTTAAAATAAATAATTGTAATATTAATACTATTGCTATAAATAATTTAAAAAATTTTTTTAAAAAAGATAAAAAATATATAGGTACAAGTTATTGTGAGTGAGACTTTTATAAATAATTGTTGAAATTATTTTTAGTTATCAGTGAATTATCTATACATATGAAATATATCATAATATCATATAACTGACCAAAACTTTGTCCTTTATTAATATTCTAGTTTTTTAAGTAGTAAATGTTTAAAAAAAATATAAAAGATACTCTAATTATATAGCTGTATTAACGATTAAATTCGTGTATATCCGGCTATATCGAAGGGAATTTTTTTATGGCAGAAATTAAAGATATTGTCTAATTAATTAAAAATAACAGTTTCTTATTTTTAGAATTCATTATATCAACGAAAATCATGAATAATTCATAAATTTTTAGATATATTTAAAACTTAATTATTATGTATTCAAAAATAAAAAACACAATTTACTTTTCGATTAAGATTAGCAATGAATTCTTCGTGTTCTATTGCAAGTATTTGATTCAAATTTATTCGTAGTTCTACCATGACAGTCCGAATCGCGTTGTCACTTTCATCTACGATTCTAAACATTGTGCAAAAACACATAAATATATTTATAATTTATGTTTTTACATAATTTTGTCATTCTGTACCTTGGATTAAGATATCTTTGGGAAAATCGGTCGTTGGATGTCATTTCAACATCTGCTATACGTTCTTGACTGAGCTGACTCATAAGATTTTCTATATCTGCAATAAAACGATCTAGTTTTGCCATCTCGTGACCTAAAGATGGGGCCGGTGCAGCTTGTTCTTCTCTAGCGATTTCACGCTCTACTTTTTGATATGCTTCAATACCAGTTTCTCTAGAACCCATTCCGTTATCCTATATACGCATATTAAACAACTACATATTACTTAAAAATACTTTTATCTTATTTTTTCATCAAATGGTTAAACTAATTGGAAAATATTTTAAGTCTTAAAATATAATATACACATGAATATCTATTATGAATTTAATCCGTTTTTAACAATCTAATCCAATATATATATACAATATACACAGAATAAAATTGTCCTTTGATGGTATAAGCTATTATTTTTTCAAATCAAAACTTTTTCTATTTTAAATTGTTAAACAGATAGTTTTTTTTTTTAAATATAAATATATTAAAATTAAAATTCGAACTAATAGTTTCTTAGTGATTGATTTGTATGTAGATACTATAAAGATTTAAAAAATATGAAGGATAAAATTAAAATTTTACGTAACTAATATTAGCTTACTAAAAATATATAATTTGTAAAACATAATTAAAATAATAGACTTAATATTATCTCGTACATGTTTAATATTTTATGTGAATCATTCATAAAGATTATTATTATTATTTATAGTATATAAAAAAAATTATTTCAAAAACTACTTGTTCAAATTTTTGATCTTATTTTTTTAAATATAGAAAAATTTAGAAAGTATGATTGACTGTATTTTTAAAGTTTAGGCCAAACAAAATTAAACATTGGTTATTGATATATTTTATTTTATTTGAAGAATGTACTCATACATTTTTAACATATAAATATAGATAAATTAAATTTTATTGAATAATGATTAAATTTTCATGACAAAACATTAAATAATTTAGACATTTAGTACATTTATTTTAATATTTAAATATTTAGAATTAGGTCAACTAATTTGGTGAACGGCGCAAAGTATAGGCAATATAGGTACATAATAGCGTTGTATAATATAATTAAGAAAAAAATAATGTTTAATATTGATAAATGACGGTTAAGGCGTTCGTCGTTTGTATAATTTTTACTTATGTTAATTTCTTAATTACGTGATTTGTAAACTTGATTGAATTTAATTTACCATAAAAAAATTTCAAGTAGTGTATGACAATTATTTTGGTTCACATAGTTTCAATTTATTAAATAAATATTTTTCGCTATTTTCATTTCTATTATGTCTTAAATTATTACTTTTTTGAATGATAAATATTAAAAAAAAATTTTTATCTACATCAGAATTGTTTTTCTGAGAATTCAAATGCATAAAAATCGAATTTCAAACAATTAATTGAATATTTATGATCACGACTTACTAAATTTTCCATTAGAATATGAGTGTTTACTTTTAAAAGAATCTCCCTGTATAATAAAAGTACTAAATACAATGAACTGGTGACCTCAGCGATAATCTATGGAGGATGAGTAACATACAAGAATTCAAAAGTATTTAAGACATTATTTAAAATTTAAACTATTCACTGCACCTTTAAGGTAGAATATCATATGACAAATTAAAAACCATAGTTATTGTTTTAAAATAAAATAGTTGTTTTTTATTAATTACTCTGAACTCTAAAGTACTCAAGTACCTATTGGTACTATCTTTATTATATAAGAACAATAAGCATATTATATGTATCTAAAATTTGAAAAATATGTCAATAAATAAATTTATTTATTTTAAAATATATATTCATATTAGTTAGAATATTACTTTTGAAGATATGCTAATACTTCATTTTTACGAGTATATTTAACTAGACCAATTTGGTCAAATAACAGATCAGTAAAATTGTCACATGCATAAATATAATATTTTATTCACCACTTTTTTTATTATCAATTTATTGGTTTTAATTTATTTTTCGATAAACATAACTTTAATAGTATTATCATGTCCCACAATGGTAAGGTATACCTACCTATTTATTTACTGTATGACGATAATTTTTAAGATAAGGAGTTTTTATATCAGAAATAAATATGTTTTTCATGTATCAGTTATATAAAATTTAAAAGTAATTAACCATACCTTTATATACCTATGATACTTATTAGCTGTAATAATCTTTAACCTTGTTTGAAAATTACGATGATATGACATATTATCGCAATTAATTATGTTCAGACATTATCATATGGTTTCGAATTTCTAATTATCATTTAGACAAGTACAAGTGTACAACAAAGGTTAAAGATTTATATTGCAAAACAAAATATTATATACCTATATTATATTATTGGTATTGATTTTCCGTTAATCTGATTAATTATTTCCAATACAAATATAATGTGTATAATGTAATGTAAATTGTATCTATTTCCAAAACATATCTATGTGAATCATATTATTGTGTCCTTCGTTTAACCAATCATTTAATTATAAAATAATATTTTTATTTATTAATATTTATGTTTTTGATTGATTTCCCTTGACAATTTGTATATAAAACACCATTTCTGCCGTTTCTGGATGAGTGCGTCGACCTGTTTAGTTATAAATGCATGTGTTTAAGTAAACTGCGTGGTTGCTTAGGAACATCTAAACACAAAATATACGCTTATCTTTACATCAAAAACTTAAAATATTTATTTTTTTTTGCTAGTAATTTCAAAAAGAATTATAATTTTAAATAATTTTTGAACATTTATAAGTTTATTTATTTAGTAATAAATAATAATACAAGAAATATGTAAATGTCAAACATTGATGATACAAGAGTTGAGCTGCACACCTAAGCTGGGATGCCTGTATTAAATTTTTAAAGTAATAATAAATCATTTCAAACAGGGATAAATTAATTAAATAAAATATTTAACTAATAGAGTATATAACCATACGTAATAGACTTAAAATACATTATTTTGAAAATCATTAAAGTCCAAATTTTCTTCTACTAATATTTATATAACTAGATAAAATTAAGTACAATTTTGATAAAGCACAAACTACACATGGGCAAAGCCGGGTAATTCGGCTAGTAATATATAATTTAAAAAATTCAATCTATTTTTAAATTTAAATCAACTAAGTTGATTTGAAATCAGTCTATTAGTTTTTTAAAGTATAGATTTCTGTTTACTCAGAAATGTTTATGTTATATAGGAAGAGGTCGATTTAGCTTTTTCCATTTATTTAAATACACATCATAAATAATTTATAGTTGTATTAATATTTTCAGAAATTATCAAATTTGTATATTATAAATAAAAATGTATCATTAAAAAATATTTTTTGTATATCCTGACAGTATACTTACATAAAACAATAACATTTATGTATTTTCAAAATATGAATTTTTTTATTCTTAATGCAAAATTAATTTAAACACTCAAACTAAATCTTGCGTCGTCGTTTCACCTGTGTAGTCACTAGTCACGTAGGCAATGTCTTATCAGTTATTCGCAATTACTTACCTGTTTCGGCCGTTTTTTTGTTGCAACTGGTCTTATATTATATAGTAATAATAAGTCAGTGGACTACCGATATCACTATAAAAACAAGAGTAGGTCATATAATTAATTCGACCACATTATCAGCATATTAGTCGTTATTTATTAATTAATTATATATTTAAATTTAATTGTCTATACATAGGTACTAAATTACAAATAGTAAGTTTCATATTAGAAAAATAGGTTAGGCGAATGGATGTACAGTATAATTAATACCATTTACTCCAAAACAATAAACTATAATGAGGCTAAAAATATTGAGACAAGGTGCATGGTCTATATAATTATTATAATCATAGTGACATATTATTATTAGTGATTTATATTTTTATAAACGTAATATTATTGAAGTAAACCATATATTAAAAAAAAAAAAACATATAAATACAGTATATGCAAAGTTTATTTACAAATAGTTTAAACTTATTTTTTCATTAAAAATATAATTGTTTTAACACTGTCCCCGTTGAAAATTTATATTCGAACATACAGTTAAAATTGTTTTGAATAAATCGTACACATTTATCCAGCGAATAATTGTTTAATGATAAAAAAATCACCATGTAAATAGATAACACTATTATGATAGATCACCTAACAATGAAATTAACCAAAAAAATTAATGATTATTTATTTTAAAATTAATAAATATTTGCATTTATATTTTACAATTTGAAAAAAAATCAGATCTGTAGACATATTTAAAATAAGTACATCCATTACATAAATCAATTGTTATTTTAAAATTGTTTTTTCTTAATAACTCTTAGTATTAATAACACTTTATATTTACAAAAAATTGAACTCTGCTATATTATGGTTCATAATATCATTAATAGCATATTCTCAACACACGGAGTAATGCAATTTAATTTCTCGAATTATCTCCTACCATTTCACGAGCTTATCTAAACTTGATACGAAACTTGCAAATAAACAAATATGTGTATTATTTATGGACATACCCTGGTACTTAGAAATAAGTTTAAAATATATCACTGTCTACAGCCTTACACCAAAGAAATAAATGTAATAAATAAAATTAGATCAAATAGCAAAATAAAAATTAGTGAAAATCAGATTAATAAAATGAGTTAGAAAAATAGAGTGATTTCCAAGACAGAAACACTGAAATTACTTACAATATATTATAGATATGTAAATATCAAATATTAATACATTTTTGCATACTTTAATTATTTTTAACTGTGTACACAGTGCACACTACCTATACGTTACAGATAAACCTAATGATAAAAATCTGTATTAGTTTAAAATTATCATTTTCAATAATAACAATAAATACCATGTACTATTGTGATAAATGATAACAATATTTAACTTATGGTATACTAATTGAGTGTCTTATATATAATTCGTAAAATTCCAAAACGTGTTATTTAAATAAATCATATTAAGAAATAATTGTATATAAAAAAAAAATATTTGAATAACACCAAGTATTACAGGATATAGATAATTTTTAACTATTTTCAACTAAAACAACATAATTTCAAATTTATAATAAAGATACTTTAAAACTTCTTTCATTATATTTTAAAGAATATTAAAATACTCACATTTATGCTTCCTTGAGTGCTCGGGGCACATCCCATATTTTTTCATGCAGTTCGTTTACCATATCGCTTGTGATGTCCTCTCTTTTCCAACCGCCATCCTCCATTTCGATACTAACTTGATACTAACAAATAAGATTTAAGAAAATACTATTTTTATTTTTACTATTATTTATTATGAATTAAAAAAAAAAAAAGGATAAATAAAAGAAATCTTATCTCTTGACATTAAATATACATTAGTTTTAATAATACGAACAATCGAATCGTTAACACACAAGTAGCAGGTAACTAATATTGTACATTTGTAAAGTAGATACTAAAATAATTTTGATTTGTAGTGTACTTGCGCTTGTAGCTATAGCAACTTACGACCTTGCCAAACACTCACTAATTTTTTACATTCGTAAAAAAATTATACGTGTACTCTCAATAAATATTATACTTTTACATGTTGTCCGAAAAGTTTCATAGGAACCATACCATATAATAGGGTTTCACGCAAATAGGTCAACATTTTTCTATTATAGGGAAGATGTCTCAAGGGCTTTTAACTAACATATATATATAGGTACATTCACCTTGCATTAAACTATATGACCCAGAAAATTATTCCTGTAATCACGATGATTTTAACAATTTTTTCTACAATAAATAAATATGTAAGCATACAGCACATACATGTATATAAACTATATTTAGCCATTATACATATATTATGTACAAACAGCATAATTATGTTGCAATTAAAATTTAATAATGATTTTAGCAGTTTTTAGGATAATCAATAAATATTTAAAATTATTTCTTATGCTATAGTACAGCAATAGAATTTAAAATACAAGATATGTAAAATCATTTTAATCTTAAATATATAGTATTAGTAAAGGATATAAATAATATTACTTTTACTTATTAAAATTTAAAAAACTAAATTATAATATGTAATATTATAATAATTACAAATAATTTTTGTTATACATGAATACATAAATATTGCTAAGTATAGTTATATATCATTTTATTGGTACAAGAATCGGCAAAAATAGATGGAAAAATTGTTTTTATTAAATTAGGTACTATAATATCTATATATGTTGTTATAAATATACTTCTGGCCACCTACAACTTTCTTTGTCAAAATTAAAATAACATGATATATTTACTAAACTAATAAACATTTTCTTTTATAAATAACAATAAACCCACATCAGATATATTTTTATTAAATAGCTAGTAAAGATTTATTTGAATACTAAATACTAATTTATACTCAGTAAATAGTAATTGCTTGAAGAAAAAAATGTCACTAAAATATAACGAAGAGTTTAAATACGCATTACGTGATATAGCAAACAACTCGTTCAAACTGGAAAACCAATTTGGTAATTTGACAATTATGTATTTTAAAATTGTAGTCATTCATGTGCTACTAAGACTATTACTTATATTCTATCCATATAAATTATAGTCATTTAGTATTTTAATCAATAATCATTATAATTGTTATTACCATTATTTTACATTTTAGACAGAGTTCGTTGTACTGAATGGGTTCATAAGCTGGTAATGCTGTCAGATGACTCTTTAGAAAATATTAAAATTCGCAATGATTATGCTCAATATTTACGTATAATGCTTAGAGCTGGTGTTCTGCATGGAATCTTTTCCAACAGTCCACCTACAACTTTAATACCTTTCCCTGAAGCTATGGTAAGATGAAATATAATTTAAAATCACGCATATACCTAATTAATAATAATAACTATTAAGTTGGGAGTCATTAAATTTTTAATTGTGAATAAAAAAAAAAGATTGACTAAAACAAAAGTATTAAAATTAAATGATTTTGATAATATAGTACATTTTCAAATATTTCTTATTTAGGGAAAACTAATAGCATCAAAAGTAACATCTCTTCCACCTATGGGACCAATAAATGTGTATATGAAGCACTGGTCTCCAGATGGACGAGCTTATGTCGCTATAAAACCGATACCTGGAAAAGGAGTATTAACGTATTTATCAGTCACTCCCATAACAGATGGACAACATAATTAATTTGAATATTAATAATAAATTAATTTAATTTTTAATTGACTTTTCAATTATTTTTCACTTATAGACTATAGTCAATAATTATCACAATATAATCATATAAAGGTATAAAAAGTAATTAAAAACACAAAAATTAGAATTACTAACTTTTAATTTAATTTTAAACTAATTAAGTCATACTATAACTATATTTTCTAATAAACAAAAAATCTCCAAATAGGTATACTTTGTATCTAGTTAATAATACTATTCATTATTTGATACCAAAGGTCCTTCACTCTTTTATTTTATTCCAACTAGTATAATAGTTTTATATTTTTATATTTATAAAAGTAATTTAGAAAATATTTGAGTTATTAAAATTATAAACATTTACTATTAGATTATAAATAAGTATATAAGTATATTGTATCAAATTATTTTAATGAATATAAAAGGGTGCAAAGCAAGTTTTCTAAAATACAAATAAAAGAATTTTATTTACGCAAATTGTTAATAAATTATTTGTTTTTGTGCGTAGTCGTTTAACTTGTTATTTATGATAAAACACGTTATTTTATAAAATTTAGTAAAATTTAAACAATTTTGAGTACACGAGTAATGTGTAAATAATAATACTAATACATAACAGATATATTTTTTGTATGAAACATTTTTTTTTTTTTTATTTAGAAAATATACGAATTGTACAGACCTTGGGGAACAATAGCGTATTGATATTATTATGATAAAATCTAAAATAAACATAATAATTTTTAAAAAGAAGTCATCTATTAAAAACATTTTTAACTATAGTCTATAATATAATTTGTTAATTTATTTATTCGTATTTAAAAATACGAAATAGATACAAATATTACCCATTATCACGAGTAGGTACAATTAAAAACTGTAAATTATGCTAAAAATTTAACTACCTACGAAGCTAGAGTAATCAAAACACAAATAACAATAATAAGAACATATTTTTTAATATTTTTTCTGAGGCTATTGATATCTCTGGGTACTAAGCCCTCCTCCGGATGATCAACTATATTAGATGCTCAATGATAATTTAATGACTGTTTATATTTTTGCATTTATTTAATTTAATAATCATACTTAAATATTGTATTCTTTTCAATAGACATAATTTATCACAGATATTCAACTTAAAATAAATTAAAAACATTAAAATTATTTATTTTTCATATTTTTCATTAACATTTTATGTAATTGCATAATACATTTACAATACTATGCGACTGAGGTCTATAGGTAATGATGTTGAAAGTTTTGAATGTGTTATTTTTGATTATAATAGCCGTTATTAGGCAGTAATGAACAATATAAAATAAAATAAATGTTTGTTGTGTGTTCAGGGTACCCTGCAGACCCTGCACCCACCATAGCACTACATAATATGTATATTTTCTCGGAATAGTATAATGACCTCGGTCTAGCATTTCTGCCATTCTGAGGTCATTGGTAAAACCACAACACAAAAAAGTAATGTATTATTTATTAAACTCACAAGTCCAATAATTCAATACTTTTAGGCATTGATATATTATATACCTACCTGTTAAACTATAATATAATTACTTATTACGAATAATAGTTGTATATGCGAGCTGACCTACACGGTCCATAGCAATGAAGATAGCAATTTAATAATAATTAATTAATAACATATAATAGTAGATAATATTAAAATTTTTAATTAACAAATATGTCTCAACTCATATGTTAATATTAGCGAAATTTATATTTAAATTAACTTTGATTATAATATATTTTTTTTTAATAGGTGTTAGTACTTTTTTGAACATACCGTATTCTTTATTCAATAAGAATATAAAAATAATAAAATAATAAAATTAATAGCTGACAATATTGTAAAATCGTTTACAAATTACAATGTGACAAGATGTGTGCAAGTTATACTACGTATACTTAAACACCCTAAACATATTTTATTACATGCAGATATAATATGCCAATATAACTGCAATAAATATGTGGAGTGTTAGTAAATTTATAAGAGTGTTCTCCGATAAATCTTTATATGTATGCATTCCACAAGTGTCCAGTATTCTGTCGCAAGGTCGTATCGTGTTGATAAGGCATTCGTGTACCTACCTACGAATATTTAATATATCTGTACTTTTAAGTTGTTCATTATATGACGTAATACGTTATTTAGATAGGTACTTGTCTATCTATCGTGGAACGTGGATGTAAAACAATACCTGTAGCCCTATAGGCTATATCTATATTTTATACAAGTAAAAAGTATTATGTGTATCATAACGATTCGTGTACGATGCATACGTGCATACACGTAAGAATTCTTGTAAATAATCCATAAATGGAATTTTCTCTCAAGGTAAGTAAGTAGGGACTTGTCACAGTCACTGGACTGATTTGAGAATCAAATAGTGTATAATAATAAAGGTAAATCTCGCAATATCTATTCGTACGAACAAAACGACAAAACGTCGGCACTGAATCTTTTGCTTATCAATTTATCGTATGGTCTTATCACGATACATTTTTGAAAAAAGTCGTAGTAGTGTATGTTTTAATTTTTAAATTGATGTACAGTTGGTAAAATCGAAATAAATCATATAAAATTTTCGCCGTAGTCATCAATGCTCGGCTGTGAAAAAATTCCAATACTCCAATATTAGTTGTCGACGAATTCTTCACCGCTCTTGTTAATCATTCGACGACATAAAGTAATGGCACTCTACGACAGCAAACATTGGCTTCTCTCTCACATCAGAAACTCGTTCATATCGTCAGATGACACAGGTAATCACTTCAATACAAATAATCACTAACATCGAAGTGTTCTACTGTCGACGAATCAATTAATTGCGAGTTTACTGTTATTGTCATATTAAATTAGTTTTATTATCATAGACAGTTAGGTATAGATAGGTAACATTAATATGCCAACGACCGCAACGAAAACAAATAGACAGATGTTAGGACGTCGTATTTAATACGTTTATGTTTACGGAGCAAGACTATTCGAGCAGGTAACACTGTGTACTATCAAGGTGTCCAAGGGTGGGGCATGGTTATCTGGAGAAAATTTTTTTCAACGAAAGTTTTTTCTCGCGTTTAAAATAAAAAAAAGACTAGGTAATTGCCTAGAAATTCCTCGCCGTGTTCCGTATTCCATTTTTATACGCCATATTTTTTTTACATTTTTCTGGCAATAATTCTTCAAACTATAGTTTTTTTCTATCCAAAACTGTTGATTGTCAAAGTTATTCCGTACGATTCAATCATCATTGTATTCTACAAAAACAGAAAAAATATATTATACTTAAAATCTGTACCGCCCAGGTACAGAATCCAATCAGTGCGAGTAAACAACAATCCGTGATCTATGTATAGTCCGATGTAACGTTTTAATGTCATATTTTTTTTTTATCTTATCTTGTGAATTGTTTTCCAACGTTCATCATTACAAGTGCTGTAAAGCAATGTTTTTAATTTAATCGTTTTTTTTCACTATTTCTTTATAATAATACTTATTTTAAATTAAATCCATTATACTAACCTACAGTTAAATTTTCGTGTATCCAATTTATAATTTTTGACTGAAAAATTGTTTCCAAGAAGAAATCATGGTCATTATCAATGATCTCGATTACCAGCCATTCCAATCGCTAGTCAATGTCGACAGTATTCCATTTGTTATTCCGGAATGTACAATTACAAAGAAGCAGCCAAACAAGACATTTAGTGAAATTCAACATCTCATAACCAATGGACGACATAAAGAAGTTAAAAAACTATTACGTAGCCACCATTGGCCCGCCGATAACATGATTCGTTCCCAATTGTGGTCCGCATTGTGTAAACAGCATAACAACAATAATATGACTGAAGGTTTTTACTGGGATCTAGTTGTACAATTATTTGGTACAAAGGAATTACCAGATAAAACTAGTATATTACCACCATTTGTTGATTCGAAACACCGGCATATTTATCATTTAACTGCTGTTGGTAAAGAAGTAGCTGACCGAGTTGTATGTGTACTTGGGTTTGCATGTCCTGATATTACTTACAGTCCAGCAATATATTCATTAGTTTCATTATTTTTACATTTTATGCCTGAAGAAGAATGTTATAATAGCTTAACAAGTCTTGTGTCATCAAAACGATTAGTTTTTATGACACAAACAAAATCATTATATGAAGTTACATGGAGAACTGTAATGCGAGTTACAAGAAAGTATGCAAGTAGTGCTTCAATTAATTTAACAAAATTTTGTTCGGCCACTAAAATAGAACATGTATATACTGATTGGATGTGGTGGATTTTTCAAGGCCTTCCATTTCATCATGTCGTAAGGGTTATGGATTGTTATTTACATGAAGGTATTAAAGTATTATATAGAGTTGCCATGGCTGTATTAAAACTTTTTCATAAAAATACTAATAAAAGAAATTCTCCTTGGGCTTTAGAAGCTCTTAGTAATGGATTAGAAGCTACTTTAATGAAATTTTGTAGACAAATGCCCGTTAGTCCTAATAAATTGTTAAAAACAGCATTTAATATTCGAGCATTAAGTTCTGCCTATTTACATAGAGTTTTTGTTAAAACTGAAATGTCAATGAAGTCAAAAGCCATTACTTCAAATTCACATCAATTGTTAAGGTCTCGATCAAGTGAAAACTTGCCCACTAGTCAATCTCAAGTAAATATTCAGCTTCTATCACATACACTTAGTACACGAGAACTTTTTACATTATGGTCATGGTTACCAATGAGAATAACAATGTATCAACCTATTTTATTATATACTACAGAAGAACATGGATGCAGCTTGACTACATTTTATTTTAGAGTTGAACAACATGAACCGACATTGTTAATTATTAAAACTTGTACTGATGATGTATTTGGAGCTTATTGTTCAACTAAATGGCTTGAGAGGAATAGAAAAGATGATAGAGGAAACAGGACAGCATATTTTGGAACCGGAGAAACATTTCTA